TACTATTATATCCTTATATTATGAGTTTCAAAGCATTTCATCCAATATTTAAAAAGTTACGGCTAAATCTATTATCTATTGGTCATTTCACGTGTTACACGTGCGCGCACATGCACGCACGTGCGCGCAAAATGACCTTCGTTCCGCACATCTACATAACATACCTAGTGACCCTAAAAAGGTTTCACCTAGATCGGATGAGTAGTTTACGAGAACACTCGCGGACAAAAAAGTACCGGAGAACAAAGAAAAAATTCAGAAAAAGTAAAAACAATATGTTCCCAAACTCCGTTTGGGGAACATAATAACAACATTTTCCAGCACAAGTCACATCGAAACTAGGTCATATACATGTTGCTTGCCGTGTTTAGTCCTAATTTATCAACTTGTATACAATTTTAATATTGATACCATTAAAATGTTCAGAGAATTTAATTATACATGTAATAAACATAATTTTATTATTATAGTTTTAATGCTATTTAAATGGTTTACCGTTGTCGTAAAGGTGAATCTTTCGACAATGACAATCGTAACTAATCAGCTATTTTTGTGAACGATAAACAGCTTTTTGTTTCTCTTTAGGAAAATAGCCGAGTACATGTAGTTATGAATGCTGACAAAGAACTGTTGTTTTTAAGTCATGCTGTCTGTAACGTTTGTAGTTTTCTTTGTACTATGCAGTTAGAAGCGTTTTAATTTTATTTTTTCATCGACAATAAATAATTTGTTTAAAAATATATAATAAGTTCATTTATTTTTCTTACACGACCAGTCAGTCTAGTACGACGACATTTTACCCGACCGGACCAATCTTTTATTAGACTCAGTCGGTCGGACGTGCCTTAATGTCAAACCCTGTCTCCTACAGAATTAAAGTGTAACAGGATTTTATTTTTTGTATATCAGTCAAACTTACATTGCAAACTCCCCATGCTACTGTGCATTCTTCACTCGTGGCTGAGGCTTGATTAGCCTGGCATTCTATACAAAGATCCATGATGTGATTTCTGCAGATAGCACAGTTATCAACTACTATGTCTGCAATGAAACAATACATGGTCATCTTTTTTACACAATTGGAATAGATACACAAAAGACTGATAACACTTCTAAATAAGCAATAAATTAAAATGACTATGATAATTCTCAGAGAAATACTTATTCTTTTAAACTGCTTATGCACTATACAATCACACATTTCATGACAATGCAATCAAATTTATGTGATTTGAGAAAAAAATATTGGTCCCTGTGGATGTGAATTCATGGATAAAGAAGTGCTACATTGTTATTCATTTGCAATTTAACATTTTGTGGAGGACATGAATTTGTGAGGCCTTACATAGCACAAAAACAAATAAAATAATCCTTGATGAAAAATGAGTGATTTCACAGTAACATCTTAAGAAGTCTATACATTTGTTCGTTGTCAGATATCTTTAATTAAGCTTCATGAAATAACTTACCCCAAGCCCATAAAGCAACAGCATTCCACTATGACAAAGAAAGAAAAAAAGAAAATATAAGTAAAATTCCTCAATTTTTCTTTCCTACAATGACTTGACCACTGACACGTTTGGAGACACATTACTTTTACCAATAGATTAATTTGCAGATTTCTTTTTAAAAAAAAATCTCAGGTCAGTTATTTGAGCCAAGAACTTCACTTGCAGACGTCATATGTAGGTTATGTTACCAAACGAAACCTGAACAGGGCTGACATTAATGAAGAACTGTTTTACTGACTATATGTCTGCAATATATTCATTAAATCAAGGCAAGTTTATTATTTGTTTTACCATTTTGTTATTCTCACAAGAGCCTTGCTTAAAGAAACAATGCATTGTGGGTCAAAGGTACTGATGAAAAAGAAAATTCTACAGAATGAATATGCATGCAGTAGTCAAAATTTTCTCTTCGCCCAGGCATTGTCGTTAGAGCTAACAGTGATGAGCGTCACTTTGGGATGCTCGCTGTGCTTACTATTATATTCAAGATAATTGTTAATTTAGTTTATTTAATAAACCTCTTGTGAATTATCACGATCATGAATGTAAATCATGACTGTATTGTTGTAAAGGGGTTGGGGTAATTATGTGGTTTTCAAAGTCGACAGCACCTTTACTTCTGGTATGTCATTACTGAACACATTTGAAAAAATGACGGAAAAACTGGTCAGTTTTCTCTGGCCAATATTTGCCTATTTCATTACATCTTTTATAAATCTCTGCTATTTATGTCACTGGAGTAAACAATTACTCATTTTTTTATTTTTAAATCATGATACATCAAAGGCATACAAAAATAAAATATATAGGACTTCTCTTTATCTTTTGTGACTTTAAAATGATAAATACTCAGTGAATCCGTAATCTTAATTTATTAACATTATTTATAACTTCACTTTCTAAAATTAAAGATTTCAAACAGTGAAATACTGTCTACATTTTCTTTGATTGTATTGGCATTTAAATGTCATTTTAAAGAGAAATCATGAATAAAATTTCAATGTGATATACAGTACAAACTTTTTTAACTTCAAATCTTTTCTTTCCTCCCTTTTCTCCTGAACCTCCAGGAACTTCCAAATCTCCGTCAGCACCACTGTCATCAACATCCATTGCGGCCGCCATACTATTTCATATAGCGCATGCGCATTTAAATACCAAAAAAAAAAAAAAGAAAAAAAAAATAGGAAAATAAATTCCTGCAAAACGAAATACATTTATATATATATTATATCATTAAATACTAATTAGAAAACTTTTTAGATTTATTATGATTCTTCAAACATATTTTTACTAAAAACAAGCGAGGCCTTTAGCAAATCAACGATATACGGAACATTCGTTTTTCCATTAATTAGCCTAATCCTACATATATATGACACTCGCAACACAGCCGTAGCATGTCAGGCATGGATCTACTAGGACTAGGAGCTGGTAAAAACTCTGAAAAAAAGACACACAACCATGTTCCTGATGGTGCATGTTGTGCGGGAGACAATGCAAATTCAAGTAAAGATCATCCTATATTTGCAGCAGTAAAATCTGGGTGAGTATAATGTTGATAATTAGGTAAATAAATTAACACTAAATATACTCGTATCCAAAACTCGTATTTGTTGAGTTTCCTGTAAGAAGAACAAAGTATGCAAATAACAAATATTTGTCCCGATAGTTTAATTTCATTATTTATTAAGTTTAGAGAGCTTTTAAAATTTGACATATTGAAATATGTTTGACAGAAATTTTGTTTTTACATTGTTTATACCGTTGCTATGTTCATGTACAAACTTGACCAATTTGACCATAGGTGTGTGTATTGAGTAAAGACTCTTTTTACGTTTTTATATTATAACATATATATAAAATATATGTAGTTTTCTTCTATTTTCTTTATTCATATATTTATTAATTAGGTTTTATATTTCGTTGTCAACAATTAAGGAGCCCATAATTAAAGATTATGTAGTGTTACATTTTAAAAAAAAAAAAGACAGGTAGAGGGTCAACCATTTGGTTTTGTGCTATTTGTAATTTTTCAAACTTATGCTATACATATGTCTGGAAATTGAGTCTAGGAATCTCGAAAGATCTCTTCAAAGGTATGGTAGGAAACTTCAGTGTCAAATATTAAAGCAAACGGGGAAAAAATTAAGTTGCCCATCATGATATACCGGTAAGTACTTTAAGAACTGAAAATTGTTATTAATGAATAAAAATGAATGTGAAAAAATATCTGCATTTACAAGCAGGTATTAAAGTAGTAAGCATTAAGGCAGTATTGTTATTTATTAAAAAATCCTATCTATCAAGCAATGAATTTTGCTTGTGTTAAGTATACATACAATTTGTATTTGAATGTCAGCATCCCAAAAGAGACAGGTTTATTCAAAATATTAAAGATTGTTGACATTTAAAACTCCAAATCATAATTAAGCTAGGACTGTCAACTCAAATTGTAATTATTCTGATGTTTGACATGTCAGTGGAATATCAAAGTATATGTCAAACTTTTAGGGGAAAATTACCAAGCATAAAAAATTGAGCTTCGTCAATCAGGAGACTTGTATTCCTGAGTAAATTAATTATCTTGATGATTAATTAGTGAATGGTATCTGTCTTAATTGGTAGATAAGTGAATGCTTATTCTGTTCCCTAGAAATTTTGTCTGGAAGGTTAAAAGATCAGGATTATCAAGACTTGACTTAAGCTATTGACCTGAATACAGATATTTATAATAACCAAACTGTAGATGATGAATCAAAGAATGAAATAATCATGTTAATTGACCTTTGTTTGTTTTTCATGCACCATGAAGTGTAATGAAAAAAAGAGAAACATTGAATTTACAAATAACCTTGTAATCACTAGTGTTAGGGTTTGTCATAAAAGAAGTCAATTATAATGAGGAAATGGAGATCAAGATTGGGTACAGTCTTTAAACCTAAGATTAGGAAGGAAGTTTAGATCCAGTAGATAGAAATGGCTAGGATAAAGTTATTTCCTTTTACATTTGCATGTTACTTGTGATAAAACAAAAACTATATATTGAGAGAAAAGTTGTAACTGTGATAGTTTTAAATGGATTTTGCATAAAATACAATATTTACAGATGGATGTATTCTTTACTTTATGTACCTGTATATTTCAAACATTCTGGGCACCTGTACTTTTCTTGTACATACCGTTAGTTTAATATTTGTATTCTAAGAAATTGAAATTGTTTTTCAATTTATCAATATGATGGTAGTCCTCTTTTTTTTTCAAGATTGAACTACTGATGAATCAAGAAAAAAGGTTGTTTTTTTTTTAAATGCCCATTGCATTTAAATTTTAGAATTTATATGGATTAAATATTTAACTTAAATTTTAGAATTTATATGGATTAAATATTTAACTTGTTTAACTGTAGATGTGAAACCAAATGATAAACCAAAAGATGTGTTTTGGAATTTGTTTTCTTTTTTGAATATTCAGAGAAAATTATCTGCTCATTTTTCAAGTCAACTGTATTGTTTCTACCATGTTTCGAATTGTTGGCCTATTATAGTATTATTAATAAAATGTGGTTTACTCAGTTACATTATATTTTAATCTTTTACCCAGATTTATTTATTATCATCATTTTGTTTGTCATTTTTTAGATTATTGGTTCCAGTTCAAACCATAGCTGAGGATGGGCCTGAAGTTTTTAGTATGCAAGATGAGAAGGGTCACACACCTGCTCACTGGGCATGCCTGGGAGGTCACATGACAATCCTTAGATTCATTATGGACAGTAAAGGTCCAGTGGATCAGCCAAGCAATAATGAGCTCGGTGCCCACCCAATCCACTGGGCATGTGTGAATGGACACATTAACATTGTGGATGTGTTACTTCAGTATGGAGTGAACATTGACACAACTGACTTAAAAGGTTGTACACCACTGATAGTGGCATGTCAGTATGGGCATACAATGTTAGCAGGGTATTTAATGGGCAAGGGAGCCCGCTTACAAATGGTTGACAAAGATGGGGATAATGCTTTACATTGGGCATCCTTTAAAGGTATGTTTGAGAATATAGTATCTGAGTCAAAATCTCTTGATTTAGTCAAAAACAGTGAAATACTACAGGTAACTCGAGATACCTCAAAGTCCGTGGGACCAAGGAAAAACTTTCGAGAGATCAAGAGTTCGAGTTTTCAAGAGTCCATAATGTTACGGGTTTGCTTGACAGGTTTTAAAATTAGTTTTACCGGATATAATGATTTTCATGCAGTGCTAACTTTTCACACGTGGTTTTTATAAAACAGCAATATGATTTCGTATTTTAGATGAATATTTATTAATCTGAGTAAAGCTAAAAATGTACATCGTAATTTTATGTTTATTTTTTTATTCTTTATAATACAGACATCATACTTTTCATTCGTTGTATGAAAACAAGATCAAGAGTTCGAGAAATCAAGAGTAAATTTGCTTAGTTATATAGGGGAAAAAATCTGGACCAGAGACTCACTTCAAGCGATCAAGAACTTCGAGAGATCGAAGTTCGAGCCATCAAGAGTTACCTGTAGATATTTTGTTAAGTATCATGAGTGAAAGATGTACTTTATACATGTATAGTGAGTTAATTAGACTTATTTTTCAATGACTGTGTCAGAATTATCTATATCTCGTACCCATTTAGTACATAAAATTCTTATGCATATTTGATGTGATGTTAGTTTTTTGTTTTTGTTTAAGACAAGTTCACATTTAAACTGTTAACCATACTTATATTTTGTTGTAGGTCATTCCGAGCTTATGAGACTGCTGATTTACTCCGGCTTTAATCCTCGTCAGAAAGACAACTATGGACAGACACCTCTTCACTTAGCGTGCATTAATGGCAGCTTAACAGGTGTAACAGAACTCTGTGAACAGGTAGAAAATGAATTCTTTGATCTTTGATTTGTGGTCGGGTACCTATGAGTGACTTTTTTCTGATGATCCCGTGCTGTTTCTTTTAGGACGGTGTGGAGGTGGAGGTGGCAGATAAGAACGGGAAGACTCCTCTGATGCTGGCCTTTGGTAGAAAACACGAAGAAGTCTGTGATTACCTCCAGAGGCAGATTAAAAAGAAGAAGAGTTTACTGCCTAAAATTGACTTTTAGTAAGCATGCTGTTTGAGTCATGATCCATTTATTTAAATGTTTATAATCAAGAATATCATCAGATACATGTAATATATAACTGAGCATGCTAAGTGTCCCACAAATCTGTTTACTGTTAAAGTGTGGTATCATTAGATTAGTCATGATAAAAAGAATCAAGTACATCGTAGTTTGCATGATAGTTAATTGCATTTTTCTTTTTGTAGTACAATAGCATTTGGTCCCCCAGGAAACAGTAAAGGAGCCATTCTCTTCTTCATGGTCAATGCCATTTGCTGGGGATACCCAATGTATATATTTAAGGTACATTGACATTGAATAAGAGATGTTTCTAATCTTATTTGCTTCATTTTAATATATTTAGGTGTACTAAAAGTATATTCACATTATTATATCATTGAAAACAGCTGTACAGTGAAAAGTTTCAAGATAAACAATTAATTACATGTCAGAAGAAGTTATTACAGGCAAAATAGTGAGTAAAAAAATTGCCAGTGAAATTACCCCATTTGATATGCCATCTCTTTTTTTTCAGTGTTTGCCATATACCTGGAATGAGCTTCAGTTATTCCATATCTTCTTTTTCTTCGTAAACATTGCCATGTGGATTTGTTTGTTTCATGCCAGCACAACAGATCCGGGGTTCCTTCCTAGAAACATACCTGAATATGATATGGCTATAAAACAAGTAAGGCATAAAATTTAGGAATTTCAGTTCTTCTTATGTTGAACAGTTTTATATATGCACAGCAAACAGTTTATTCAGATTTACCATCAATGTTTTTGAATTATTTGGTTGCATTGTAAAAAGTTACCAAAGATGTCTGTGTTCAACGAGCTGATTTGCTGTCCTTATTTTTTGTAAATAATTGAATACCATGTAAATCATGTTACTGAATGTTTAAGACAAAGAAAACTGTGTTATTTGAGTCCCAACTAGTAAATGCAGAAATTTAGAAGACAAAAGTATGAATTAAAGTTAAATTACCAGTAATATATAAGTATAATGGTGTGCGTATAAATCTTTTAATTTTATTATTTGTACAGGTAGCACATTTTGATGAGTGGAAGCATGGTGAGAATCCCTTGAGTCGGCTCTGTCACACGTGTCGGACGGTCAAACCGCTCCGCTCCAAGCACTGTAGAGTGTGTAACCGCTGCGTCAGGGTGTTCGACCATCACTGTCCTTACATCTATAACTGTGTGGGATACTATAACAGGTGGGGAACATAATTTATATGTGACACGTGTGATATTTTGGACATAGCAGTAAATTGGAAGATTGATAGTGAAGTTTAAACCTAATAATTACTGTAATTATTATTTTTGTGTTTGATAATTTTGAAATGGAGGGAAATAAAAATTGATGACACACTTACATTATTCTATATCTGCTATGGCCAATATTTCATGATATAAGCTGCTTTAAATGTATATTTGCACTTCTTGTCTTTAAAAACATATAAATGGATTATGCATGGAATATTAAGTTAAGGGTATGTGGAAATGAACAAAGATATACCATATACATATAAAATCCAGTGTTAGTAAACAAAAAAATATATACATATTCTGCATGAACAATAACTTGAGTTAATGTGATATGTAAATAAATGATAAAGTCTGGTATTCATAACATTATAATTGTACACAGCTGTGGTGGTGCATGTTGGGCTCTCTACATTGATGGTCAAAGTCTACTGTATTTCCCTTTCATAAATACAAATGGATTTTTTTTCTTCATATTCACCACCTAGACTCTTTAAAACCAGAATAGCATTTCTTTCATTATATTCATCATCTGGAATGGCATGGCATGATTTTCTTGCAATCTATCAGTGGGATTTTTTTTTGTTGTACTTTTGAGTATAGGGTTACATGTTATGGTGCTCTCGACATATGTGTCTACATAATGATATAGAAGGGCTTGTTGAAAGTGTGCTTTTTCATGTCATTTAGGCCAAGCTTAAAAAATTCTTTGTTTGCAGTTGCCGACCTATAATTTTTAGTCTGGGTAGGTAGGTAGGCATTTTTTTTTTTTTTGGAAAAAAAATTGTTTCCGGATTTTTGTTAGATAACATGAAACAGAGTTTTTCATAGGCCTACTATACATGAATAAGCTGCACTCTTGGTATAAACCAATGATTGATGAAGAAAAAAATTGAAAATGAAACAGTTTTAATATCCTGAAAAATTGGAGAAAAAAAAAAAATTTCAAAATGGCTAAAAAAAAGTTTGGGTCGGGTGCATTTTTGGTGGGTCGGTCGGCAACTGCAAACAAACAATATTTTATTTTAGGCCTTACTTACACTTGCTATCAAGGGCTTTAAGCATTGCTTGCCACATATCGTAGTCTTATGCACATACCTAAGGCTGTCCAAAGTTAATTCTACGTTTAACGTCACCCGCGCGCGTAGGTTTCGGAGAAACTGGCACTTTGAAAAAACAAACAAATCCAAATTTTTCAAATGTTTTGTTCCGGTTTGCTCCTACTTTTATCAACTAAAAACTACATTCCATAGAGATGGACAATATTAAGGGGTATATTTGAGCTGTGTCTAATCAATATATCATATAAGATACAGTAAACTGAAAATGATTTTTTTTAATAAGAAGCCTGTACATTATTACAACTATTTACAATATATTAATTCTTGTAGATGAGTAGAGACACATTTGTTTGAAAATTTTGTTTGTTTAATTTTTTCCTCCCGCCCTTATAGGTTTTGAAGTTTGTAGGTGACGTTAAACGTAGAATTAATTTCAGCCAGCCTAACCTATTCTATATATGTTAGCTTAATTTTGAGATTGTCCAAAATAAAGCTAAACCTGACTTAGAATAATGAAAATTTTGTTGACAAACAGAATAGGTAATTTCTTGTCTTTTTTTCTTTTTAATAAATACTATTATTATGATTTTTAGTTGAAAAAAATCTTGACATAGATCTTTAATTGAAATTACCTGTAGTTTGAAGTGATTAAAAATTGAACTGAAATAAAAATGTCAGGAGATAGTGGGAACACAAATTATTTTGTATTCTAGTCATTTTAACCAAAGCATGGTAGAGTTTTACAATAGCTATGGCTCTGCTCTTTGCAGGGCAAATGATCTTGTTTGGCAAATTTGACATAACAGCAATTCATGAATAAAAATTTTATTTAATGCCTCCAATTTTTTTTTTTCAAACATTACTAATTTGCTCTGCAAAAGAGCAGTACATGTACCAAGTTATTGTGAAAGGGCTAAGGGCTGATTAATAATTGCATTTAGGGAATGACATTAATCATACATAAATGATACTGTTAAAGTACTGATAAAATATGAAAATGGTAATTGTGAACATACAAAAGATTCTATAATATGTCCTCGCTTCATTAGCTAGTTATATTTCACCAATAAGAGTGCATTTGTTATATCCAGTGAAATTTTACGGATACATAATTCTAAACTGAAAATGTTTTATTTTCTTTTAAACAGACATTCATTATATCATGTTTGTTACACTTGTATAACTGTACCGTAAAATTTTCAAATGTTAAGAAATATGGTTATTTTTCTTAGACAGAACTCCAACTTTTGTTTTATTCCCCTCAGTTTCCTACTATATTCTCAACAAAAGTAGATAACTATACTGAAATAACGTAATTAATCCCTTTTATGTGCATGCCAGCGTTTGAAATAACAGTGCGCCCGACCGCCCGAGATGCACAAATTTCGTCATGGGGGAACGGATTTACATATATTGACGCCCGACTGGACATGTTAAAATTTCCTCTAGATTAAAATTCATATAATTGATAAATCTTTCTTAGATTAGTGTAAAGTATTGGTAGCAAAGTGCAATAGGTACAGAGGTAGAAATCGTTAGCCTGAGGATTTGGAATCAAAGTTATGGTGATCTGGTCGCATTCACATTATCTCTTAATCAAGACAAATTTATAAAAGACAATTATTTCTCGGGCTAGAGGATTTTTGGTAGGGCTGACAGCTTTCACTAGCAGTCAGCCCTGCATGTCTAGCTAATTTTACGCTGAGTTTCAAACACTGGTGCATGCATATACTGTTATTTGTTTTTATGATTTTAGTTCTTATAAAAAATTTCTTATTTTTATTAAGACACTTTTAAAGTTTTATTAAAAAAAAAAAAAAAAATTAAAAATGAACGTGATCAATGGCATGCTTGATTGACAGCTCACAGTCCACACTCACAGTAAGAGTTCACTTGAGCCTGATCGACAGTTTCTTCTGTTGTAGGCCCTGGTTCTTCATGTTTGTCCTCACCATGTTTGGCAATGTTCTCTTTACGGACTTCTTCTGCTACCATCTTCTATCTGAGTTTGGCTGGGATTGGATTGTAGTTATAGGAGCAGTCATATACAGGTGTTGCCACCGTAGCGGTCACGGCAGTGACCGTCCTCATGGTAAGACCAGAACTGACCATCAATGTCAAGGGTCCCCATGACGCATCACAGCTGAACACAAGTGTCTGTAGGTGGGGACTGGAATCATATAGGGGATTCCAGTCAACCACGTTTTGTTTCTTTGTAAAAATAATCTCCTGATGGATTTCATATTTAGGGTTTTTTCATCTGCCTAATAAGATTTTTATTTTTAGTTTCAAAAATATCCAATTTACTTTCAGAGATCATCTAAAAATAAAAAAAACAAACAAACAAAAATTGTCATTGTAATGAAAATCAGGAGATTGTTTATTGTTCAGCCGATTGCAGATTGGAGGCCATTTTATAAGTATCTTGTCTTGTGTTTTTCAGAGTTTCATTTGTAGGGTTTGTATGGTGTGTTACCATAAATGGGTTTTTAAGCACCTTCTTCAGTTACTATGCCTTGACCCAGTATGAGGAACTTAATATGGTCTACCTGTTCTTCCTCTGCCTCATGCTGTTTTACCTGTGTGTGGCCTCTTACCTGTGTTTATACCTGGTAAGTCATGCGTTATATTTTATTTTAGAATTTAGATTTACTCAATGACTTGAATCAAAGTTTAATACAGAAAACTCCAGATATATTATATCACCCCACCTCTGTCGATTTTTCCGTGAAATCTTGGCTTACGATTGGTTAAAGTCTGTCACGTGAAGGCGGTGGATTAATTATACCCGGTCAGTTGTTAGTCTATACCCGGTCGATGTATTACGTCACAAACACAAACGTGGCGTCATAATAAGCACAGTATAAGCGTGATGAAGCATTTAGCAGAGAAAACCATTTATAAACTACAGATAAAACGTAAATATTACATCGGTGGGGTAAATTCGTTACATAGTCTTTTAGTGACAGGGTATGGGATGATACCTGGTTAGTAAATTTCATACCTGACTTGGCTCCGCCTCACCAGGTATGAAATTTACTAACCAGGTATCATACCATACCCTGTCACTAAAAGACTATGTAACTAATAAACTCTGTATATTGTTCCAAATTTCAGGCAACATTACCCAGAGTTTATAAATTATAAAATTTCTTATATATCATGCAAACAATAGAATATGGTGACATTTTTGTGAGATTTTTTTCAAATTTGATCTTGGGTGAGCTCTCCCTTAAGAATAAAGATAATGTCAAATCTAAACATTGTAAATTTCCACTGTATATGTTTCAAAGCAGTGGAAATCTGCTTAAAATTATTGTTGGTTCATCCAATAATCTTCTTTTGCATTTATTTTCAGGTTTATTCAATCGTTAAGAATTTAACAACAAATGAACAGCTGAAGTACAAAAGATATGCCCACATGAAGGATAAGGATGGGAAGCTTTTTAACCCATTTGATGGAGGACCTAAGAGAAACATTCTGGATTTCTTTTTTATCAGGCTTCATCCAACGGATGAAAATGGAGATTACATTTTTATAAAACTGCCATCTTAATCGTTTTTGTTTGTTTGAATAAGACTCTTGATACATTATGGTAATTTTTTCCTTTCTTACTGGAAATCTTTTTCTTTGAATTTATAACTATAAGGCATTTAATTAGCTGAAATGAGACAATAGTGTAGGTGATCTGTGTCTAATGCACTTCCGTTGGTCTATCATATTACTATAAACTTTTCCTATTTTATAAAACTTCTTTCTCCAGAACAACTGGGCTAATTTCAATCAAACTTGCCCATTCATTTGTTTAAGGGGTTTAAGTTTGTTCATATGAAGAGACACCTTTTCAAGGGGAGATAATTAAGAAGGAGTGAAATTTTAATGGCATGTTTTTATATAATGTGAATTCAAGCTTGTTCAAAACCCTGGGAGTAGGATGATGCCACAGCAGGGGTTCAAAGTTATACATAGAAATATAAATATCTTTTAAATTCTTCTCAAGAACTGCAATGCAAAGTATATTTTTACGACATCACTAAAACAAAAATAATCCATCCCCCCCCCCGCTATAGTCTTGTAAGATATGTACGGTATGTATTGTATGTCCTGTTGATACCAGTATATAAAACCCCTCACTTATGATTTATGGACAGTCCTTAGAGTGTTTTGTAATTTTTAGTTAATGCCTATCAATGCAGTGTTTATTCTGAAAATTTTTAAGTGAAGCCTTGTAAGATTTTAAGCAATTTTTGCTTAAATTCTCTTTTGTGTAAAAAAAAAAAATTGATGTAGTACATGTAATATGTATAAATTTATCAGTATTCACCATGAATGTTTTTAACAATAGAACAAAGCAGTGAATGTGTAAATTTCTTTTCAGTTATGAATCTGTAACATTTAGAGATATGTAGAGCAAGATTTTGATGATTTCAAAGGATACATTGTATTAAATTGAATGCACATAGTTTAAGTATATATCAAGACTTTTCTTTTTGTTACAGACTTTCCATGCCATATACAACATCACAGCTAATGAGAGAGTGAATTACAAGAGGTATAAGTACTTAATGGATGGTAAAGGAGCTTTTTATAATCCATTTAACAAAGGAATTGTTCACAACCTAAAGGAATTCTTCTTAATGATTCCACCAAGGACTGAAAAGGATGTGGAAATTCTGAATGTATGATTTAACTGATTTTATCCAGATGAATGCATGATAGAACAAGGAGTAGGAAAATATTTTTTATTTGTGTGCATTTGTATGCAGTTGTTCTTCCCCAACTGTTATGGCTTTGAATGTGCAGGTGCAATCATTTTATTTCATTGGTAACTTGAGTTGTGTTTTATTCTCTCTCTTTATTTTAATACCTCTGTGTGTTCTTATGTTCTATCATTATTATAATATTTGGTGCCAAAAATATCAGAATCATGTACATGAAGGTGAAACCTCTTTCCATTACACTGTGGTAAAAGAAACTCAAGTTCAAATTTTCATTTGCCTCGATATGTGCAAAATTGCCTTTTTTCCATTTAAACAAATTCACATTTTAAGCATTATTCCGAAAAATTCCATGACAATCATTTTAGGAAGCAGGTACATATACAGTATACATTAGTTTTATCTAATACAATGTAAATGTAAAAAATGCATCCATGTTATCAATTAAAATTGTTAAATAAAGCAAATATTAGAACTGAGTTGTACAAATTGATTTAACATCTTTATTGTTTTATTTCATTCAACTGTTTTTTTCACGTGATTATTTTTGTGACTTTAGCATTTGAAGTGGAATAACACATTGTGAGAGAATGTTCAGTGAGGAGACTTTGATAGTATTTATATGATGAGTCTGGTGTGTGAGATCTATTGATACTGAGTGAATGATTTTTTTAATAAATATATGCAGTATGAAAGAGAAATCTGATAGTAAATCTTGCTTCAGTCAGAATTTTTTATTGCTATATCTGTCCTTTATTGTAAAGATGTACTACTTCAGTATACCAAGAATTTTAATAAGGTTTTTTTCCCCTGTTTTAATTAATAAATATATGTTAAAATTGTTTTGTATATGCAACAAATGAATGTAAATGTGATGACAAAAAAAACTGTCTAAAGGCAATTGATGAAGTCCACTTTTTTAATCTTGTTGGTTTGAATGTTTTGTATAAGTGTAGTGCCCATTTCTTTTGATGCATGTCTGTTCAGTGAGTTAGGAAGGTACATGTACAAAGCATAATATCCAATTTTTGTATGGATTGTGAGTTCAAATTGTTACAACTCATTATATTTGTTCAGAATCATATATTAAAAATGAAATAATTTTATTATGTATTGTATTTTAATCATAATTTTATTGATTTATAATAAATATATTTGCTATTAAACCATAATGTTCAGCGTTATCATTAATAATGGAATTTTATATGTAATGATTATTCATGTAGCTGAGAGTTTAGCTGTTTTCCTGACTTCTGCATCACATCATGTTAGGAATTTTTCAATCTAACTTATTGAGGGTGAATTTTTGGTTACTATATGCACATTTAACTACTCAGCAAATTGAAACTCCCTCTTTAGATTCGCAAATGAGGCTATTTGCATTTCACAAAAATTAAGTACATGTCCTGATATTGGGTAAAATTCATCATAGACTTGAAAATTTCCTTTTTCAAAATTCTACTGATTGTCTAGAATATTTCAGGAACATTTCTTGTGGCTGGCTTGATCATATTAAGAAAAACATGTGATACTCAGGTGGCCAGCTAGGCCTATGAGTCTCTATTATTATACTCCACGCAACTAGTTGCGTGAGGTATAATGTTTTTGACCCGTCCGTCAGAGTGTCTGTCAGTCAGTCAGTCCTGTTTTTTTGTCAGCGCAACTCCTCATAAACTGCTGCACAGAATTTCGTCAAACTTTGCAGGTATTTAGGACACAATGTGTAAATATGCATATTATCAGGAAATTCCGATTCCATTATTTTTTCCAGGAATTTCCGCACTTTTTAACTTAGGCATTTGCCCATACCTTGAATATAGAGATGAACAGTTTGTCAGCGCAACTCCTCATAAACCCCTGCACAGAATTTCGTCAAACTCTGCAGATATTTAGGACACAATATTTAGATGTGCATATTACCAGAAAATTCCAATTCCTTTATTTTTCCAGGAATTTCCACACTAAAAACTTAGGTTTTTGGCCATACCTTTTATACAGTTTGTCAGTGCAACTCCTCATAAACCGCTGCACAGAATTTCGTTAAACTTTGCAGATATTTAGGACACAATATGTAGATGTGCATATTACCAGGAAATTCTGAATCCTTTATTTTTCTGGGAATTTCAGCACTTTACAACTTAGATTTTTGGGGATATCTTGAATATAGTGACGAACAGTTTGTCAGCGCAACTCCTCATAAACTGCTGCACAGAATTTCGTCAAACTTAGCAGATATTTAGGACACAATGTGTAGATGTGCATATTACCAGGAAATTCCGATTCCTTTATTTTTTCTTAGAATTTCCACACTTTTCAACTTAGATTTTTGGCCATACCTTGAATATAGAGATGAACATTTTGTCAGTGCAACTCCTCATAAACCGCTGCATAGATTTTCGTAAATCTTTGGAGATATTTAGGACACAGTGTGTAGATGTGCATATTACCAGGAAATTCCGATTCCTTTATTTTTCTGGGAATTTTGGCACTTTTCAAATTATATTTTTGACCATACCTTGAATATACAAATAAACATTTTGTCAGCGCGACCCCTCATAAACCGCTGCACAGAATTTCGTCAGACTTTACAGATATTTAGGACACAATGTATAGATGTGCATTTTACCAGGAAATTCCGAATCCTTTATTTTTCTGGGAATTTCGGCACTTTACAACTTAGATTTTTGGGGATATCTTGAATGTAGTGATGAACAGTTTGTCAGTGCAACTCCTCATAAACTACTCCACAGAATTTCATCAAACTTTTCAGATATTTAGGAAACAATTTGTAGATGTGCATATTACTGGGAAATTCTGATTTTTCATTTTTTCCGGGATTTTCAGCACTTTGAGTTTTGGGGGAGCGTGGGGTATGTGAGCTTGCCCACTTTTTCTTTCATTTTGAATGAAAGTAAGCATTAAGGAATGTGTGTCGAAATGAATTAAGAATATTTTATTCCGCTGATTCTTAATCTTAGCCAAAAGAGCCTATTCATACCATTTGAAAAATGGATCATACAGAAATAAAGTAAGAACCCAGTGATTAAAAATGTCAAAACCTTTTCCAAGTTCAAAGTTTCAGAACATTGATGCACACTAAGTATAACAAGTGTTAAAGCTTCTGGATGATAAAACCCTAAATAAGTCATCTTCACTGTGGATTAATTACTAAAACTGATGTAGAGCAGTGTACTTGGTATGTCACCTTGTCTTGCTGCCCTCCTTTCCCTTGGCACTGGTCACTCTAGTATGACTATGTCTAGAAGCAGTTTTGGTTGAATGGGGGAGTTTGAGAAAGAACAACAGACAAATTTCTTTTCATCATTTTCTTGTGGCTGGCTTGATCATATTAAGAAAAACATGTGATACTCAGGTGGCCAGCTAGGCCTATGAGTCTCTATTATTATACTCCACGCAACTAGTTGCGTGAGGTATAATGTTTTTGACCCGTCCGTCAGAGTGTCTGTCAGTCAGTCAGTCCTGTTTTTTTGTCAGCGCAACTCCTCATAAACTGCTGCACAGAATTTCGTCAAACTTTGCAGGTATTTAGGACACAATGTGTAAATATGCATATTATCAGGAAATTCCGATTCCATTATTTTTTCCAGGAATTTCCGCACTTTTTAACTTAGGCATTTGCCCATACCTTGAATATAGAGATGAACAGTTTGTCAGCGCAACTCCTCATAAACCCCTGCACAGAATTTCGTCAAACTCTGCAGATATTTAGGACACAATATTTAGATGTGCATATTACCAGAAAATTCCAATTCCTTTATTTTTCCAGGAATTTCCACACTAAAAACTTAGGTTTTTGGCCATACCTTTTATACATTTTGTCAGCGCAACTCCTCATAAACCGCTGCACAGAATTTCGTTAAACTTAGCAGATATTTAGGACACAATATGTAGATGTGCATAATACCAGGAAATTCTGATTCCTTTATTTTTCTGGGAATTTCAGCACTTTACAACTTAGATTTTTGGGGATATCTTGAATATAGTGACGAACAGTTTGTCAGCGCAACTCCTCATAAACTGCTGCACAGAATTTCGTCAAACTTAGCAGATATTTAGGACACAATGTGTAGATGTGCATATTACCAGGAAATTCCGATTCCTTTATTTTTTCTTAGAATTTCCACACTTTTCAACTTAGATTTTTGGCCATACCTTGAATATAGAGATGAACATTTTGTCAGTGCAACTCCTCATAAACCGCTGCATAGATTTTCGTAAATCTTTGGAGATATTTAGGACACAGTGTGTAGATGTGCATATTACCAGGAAATTCCGATTCCTTTATTTTTCTGGGAATTTTGGCACTTTTCAAATTATATTTTTGACCATACCTTGAATATACAAATAAACATTTTGTCAGCGCGACCCCTCATAAACCGCTGCACAGAATTTCGTCAGACTTTACAGATATTTAGGACACAATGTATAGATGTGCATTTTACCAGGAAATTCCGAATCCTTTATTTTTCTGGGAATTTCAGCACTTTACAACTTAGATTTTTGGGGATATCTTGAATATAGTGACGAACAGTTTGTTAGCGCAACTCCTCATAAACCGCTGCACAGAATTTCATCAAACTTTGCAGATATTTAGGACACAATTTGTAGATGTGCATATTACTGGGAAATTCTGATTTTTCATTTTTTCCGGGATTTTCAGCACTTTGAGTTTTGGGGGAGCGTGGGGTATGTGAGCTTGCCCACTTTTTCTTTCATTTTGAATGAAAGTAAGCATTAAGGAATGTGTGTCGAAATGAATTAAGAATATTTTATTCCGCTGATTCTTAATCTTAGCCAAAAGAGCCTATTCATACCATTTGAAAAATGGATCATACAGAAATAAAGTAAGAACCCAGTGATTAAAAATGTCAAAACCTTTTCCAAGTTCAAAGTTTCAGAACATTGATGCACACTAAGTATAACAAGTGTTAAAGCTTCTGGATGATAAAACCCTAAATAAGTCATCTTCACTGTGGATTAATTACTAAAACTGATGTAGAGCAGTGTACTTGGTATGTCACCTTGTCTTGCTGCCCTCCTTTCCCTTGGCACTGGTCACTCTAGTATGACTATGTCTAGAAGCAGTTTTGGTTGAATGGGGGAGTTTGAGAAAGAACAACAGACAAATTTCTTTTCATCATTTTAAGTTTATGAAGCAATCAAATCAAATACATGTATATGTATAAAGTAACAATCCTCTAACAGAACAAAGCAGTTATCACAAATGTGGTTTTGAATTGTTGCAAATAAAGCAATGTATGTTTTTCTTTCATAATAGTTCCAAATGTAAACTGCACATGAACAGCATGAAAAAAGATCAAATCTCCATGGACAACAAAACTCACTTGAGTAACATTAACAGCCATTTCTTAAATCTTCTTTTTCTAAATCCTGCTCTAAAATCTGGCTTTTTTGGCAAAGCAAGTCCAAATTATATGAAAAAATAATTCCACTGAAAATATTTTTCTCAAACTTCTCATATGAGTACAGAAAGATGCTCAAGTTCATATCTTAAAATTGGCATTTAGGTCATGCTTGTAAATGATCTTAATGTATAGAGTGTGAACAATTCTGAAAACATTAATTTTAATTTATTCTTATTGAAACTGTACTTTCTTAATTTGCATTTTCATAATAAAAATAAGCAAGAGTTTTATCTACATGTAGTCGAAGAATCTTAAATTATCTCAATAAAATATACTACGGTAAGTGTACATTGTACACATTTACTGCTTGTTACAAAGAAAAACTTATTCTCATAATGTTGTCATGACTTGTCTTCCCAATTTTTTTTCTACAAAACATTTATAATATGTAGTCATGCCAGATATTGCAAGTATAGTTCCATATTTTATGCCAAACCTTTTTTTTCTCACAACACATTCTTTTTAAGGTTAAAAAGAAGAGCAATATTGCTTCTCAAAGCTAAAAACATTGTATATCATGTATGAGACAATGAAGCTGTACACATATGCATTTAAAAGCTCTGGCAAAATCTGGTGTTCCACAAGTATGTGGGGCTAAGTATCATGTTCCACATGTATGAAGGACTATGTATCATACAACAGTCTGGTTAAGACTAAGGGGAAGTGGATTTCATTCAATTCTTTCTAAATTACAGGATTTCTAAATGTACATAAAAACCCTGTAAGAGAACACTTCAAGCAATCCGCAAAAACTCTTTGGACTGATAAACAACACAAAGTGTCTGATCCGATTCAACAGATCATGAAAGACTACAATCCAGGTTAGCATCCACATCCGTAGGGAGTGGTAGAATAGCCGCCAGAGCCCTGCACAAGTAAGACATAGTCCCGTATCGACCACTAGGGGCCGTATCGTAGAAATGGAGACAGATCCCAGCTGCTCCCTTTGAAGCTTCTACAATATCATCAGGGATATTCTACAAAAGAAATGCAAAACTAGAACTGTCCAAACGGGACAAAATACCCCCCACTGGGTTTTTCAGAAGTAAGTTTTTCCATAATAAAGATATGTATCAAACACAAATTATGAAATTTTTCTTCCAGTGACCTTAAACTTCCCCAAATGACCTTGGGTCAAAGTCATGACACACCCTTGGGTCATGGGCAATCTTTGTGTGAAATGAGAACCTACCAAGTTTATCCATAAGAAAGATATGGACCGGACACGAATTATGAACTTTTTCTTCCAGTGACCTTGAACTTCCCCAAATGACCTTGGGTCAAGGTCATGACACACCCTTGGGTCATGGGCAATCTTTGTGTGAAATGAGAACCTACCAAGTTTATCCATAAGAAAGATATGGACCGGACACGAATTATGAACTTTTTCTTCCAGTGACCTTAAACTTCCCCAAATGACCTTGGGTCAAGGTCATGACACACCCTTGGGTCATGGGCAATCTTTGTGTGAAATGAGAACCTACCAAGTTTATCCATAAGAAAGATATGGACCGGACACGAATTATGAACTTTTTCTTCCAGTGACCTTGAACTTCCCCAAATGACCTTGGGTCAAGGTCATGACACACCCTTGGGTCATGGGCAATCTTAGTGTGGAGTAGTAGATTCTGATGTCCCTCTGTAAGAAAGATATGGACCGGACACGATTGCACAGACAGACGGACAGCTAGACAGACGGACGGACAGACTGACGGACAAGGTGATTCCTAAATACCCCCCCAAACTTTGTTTGCGGGGGGTATAACAACCTTTACATTACTCAACACATCCCCATTCCTCACTTTCCTTGAACATTAGCTTAGCAAATTATAGTTCAAGATAGACACCAATCAAGCATGCCTGAAATTCATATATTTTTTATTATTTCAGATAAAAAAGTTCCTCATCAGATTTTATTTCGACAATGTTTGAATTTGAGATACTAGCAATAAGGTATGACTGTTCATGTTTGAATATATCAGGTCATTACACACTTATATGCAGCTTAATTACACTGCTTTACAAACCTGTTCTTTAATAAAGATGCCATTAGCCACATGGACGATTTTATCCACCTGAATCAGCTGGTTGAAGTAGAGTTTACTGTTTTCGTTCTCTGTCATCATAGTGAGAATCATCAGAGCCTCCACCATCAGCTGTCTATACTCAGGCTGGGGAATCTTATTTAGCACCATCTCCACGTGTAACGCAAACTTAAACTCTCCAGGGGTCATCTAAAGAATTACATATCAGCAGATAACGACAAATTATGCATTTTACATATCCACAGTGAAGAATTTTATTACAATAAACTGAGGTACCCACCTCTCTGGTCAGACTGTGTAGTATATGATGTCCTTCAATGACAAGTCCATGGCACTAGGAACAGAAAATACAGAATTCAACTTTAAATTAAAAGAATGTCAGATTCATAAATAATTAATCCACCTATTTTGTGAAAAATGCCATTTATTGATGTTTAATTCTAAGGTCTGTTCGAGGGAGCAAACATGAAAATTTCCATTGAAGAGATAGGGAATTTTGGCAAGTGCACACATTTGCTCAGTTGAACAGACCACAGATGTAACCAAACTGACAAAGTTCTTTTGGTAATACAGGCACCTTCATATTTTCTAACCACAAAAAATTGACTTTGCTATCAACTAGGGGCCAATATTAATTAGCTGATAAGAAAAAATATACATGCAAAGTCGGTTGTCTGCATCTGATAATTTGTGCAATACTTGTATGTGAAGATTCCACCAGTTATTTACCATTTTGAGAACTTTCCACACCCTTGGATAGAATCCGACAGGCACTCTGTTTAGAGCACCGTCCAGGCGGCGCCTACGGAGCCACTGACCCTGTCTGTCTGACTCCACGTTATCTTCCTTCTCCAGAGAATGGGGGTCAAGGTGAGGCATACTTTTCTGCATCTGTTTGAAAATTTTACTATATATATATATGTGTACTCATACATACACACGTTAATAAATGTGAATAATTATGCAAATTATATGAATTGGAATTACCTACAGTGAGTTTTTAAATACTGGTACTCAAAGTCTTGACAGCAAATAGAATTGTTCAAGCACTCACAAAATGAGCTTATTTATTCATTTCTTAATAATGTAATATTAAGTTTTGGTTAAACTCTTCTTTCTATCCACTAGATAGAAAGAACAGTTAATGCAGTCATTTACTGGGTTTGTAGATGGTTTTTATTAAATTCTAGTAGCCCTGGTAATATACTAATATGAAACCCCCTCACGGTCACCCCCACCCATCCCCTTTTTTTCTAATTATAACATTTAATAAGTTTGTACTAAGTAGACTCAAAATAATTTTAATCAACAAATTCAAGACAACAGATTAAATGATACAACACAAGAATAATTAATGCATGTTCAATAAACTAAATCATTTATATCACAAAAAACATGAAAATTGACTATACCTTTATATGGCAGACAATGTTTTCTAGGCTATTTATCTATTTTCTCCATATGAGCTACAAGAATTTCAATCAAGGCCTACCAATGTAGCATGCACAGATATCTACATCACCACAACCATGAGATGGAATCCATAAATGAGCATGTGTGATAAACAATAAAAAGAAGACACTCCACTGATACATGAACTACATAAAACTACATGTAAAATACAAACTAATGAAAGCTGAGACCTCTTGACTTAAATAAGTAGGGTTCAGAGACTTATCAGTCAATGAAACAATTATCTATGACAAACCAATGTGAAATGTGTGTATATAAATGTTTGGGACTTCATCTTTGATGACAACTTAAAAGAGTTGGGTGCTGTGAATACGACAAAGCTGAGGAACTGATTATGGAAGTAGGTCATGCATGACATTCACAGTAGGGTCATGTGACTCACCATTGACAAGTTTCTGTCATCCAGAATCAAACTCTGGCCTTGCCTTAAATTGGATTTTTTCTCTTCAGGGTGAAAAAAAATAATTAAAAAAGACATTAATAAGTGACTTTCCACTGAAAGCAAGCAAGGCTTGGTGAAACCTTCATTTCCACACATGAAGGTGCAAACTAATTAATGAAATGAGAACATTCCAACTGAGCAAGAACATATATGTCCATGCTTGCAAAGCAAAATTAGGGTAAAGTGAACACTGAATAACCAAAACATGCTTCTGACCAATGAAATGTAAGCCTGCATACTGACAAATATTTTTTCTACTATGAACTACACATATTCCTTGTTAGTGCATAAAGGTTTTATGCAGAATTCTTGATTTAACAGAAAACAAATCGAAACAAACACAGAATATACAAGGGAAAAAAATCATCTCAACAAGAACCACAACTCCACATTTGCTATCCTCTTAATAAGTCGAGCCCCCTTGTGTTATGGACATCAGTCAGCCATGGCTGTCAATTAAGTCATCATACGTAAAACATGTCTTCCTGAACATAAAAATAAAACAGGAAATGGTATGAACCTTTAAATGTGGTTTTCGACTTAGTTTGGCAAATTCTGTGGCTTCATCTCCGACATTCTTCGTTGTAACTGATAACCTGCACTCGTCTTCTACATTAGTGTGCTCTAAATCAAAATATAATGGTAGCTGGTGTAAGTGATAGCCTGGTAAAATTGTCCATATCCAATCAAGTAAGAAATTAAAGTTTACATAATTGTATAGACGCAGGTGCAGAGCAAAACTCTACAGTTACCAAAATCATCAGATCTACTAGCTGTTTCAAAATAAGCTTGGTAATGCTGCTTCTGCAATGGGATTTTCAATGGATTGCTTTTCATAACATATGACACCAATAAAAGTATAAACTACTCTAATACTTCTTTAAAAAAAAAAATTTTTTTAAAGAAAATTGGATGGAAGTTTGCATTTTATATATCAATTATTATGTAACATTGCCATTTTTCTACAGAGGTGCATGTGTTTAATTAGTGGAGCAAATAAACACAATTCAACAATTAATATCTAATGACATTTCCTCAAAATGACAGTTGAGTAATTGAGATTGACAAAATGCTCATTGCAATTCACTAAATTCAATACTTAAACAATATTGCTTTGAACATGATTTTTGAAATTTTGTATCTACATTACCCTTCTCCATAAATATTTATAATGTTAGTTTTTTTAGTATGGCCATTCATGTTTAGCATCCATGTATGCTTTTGCTTTTCACTCTCAAAATCAAGAAAAAACACACAAAATCAGAACATGTTCATAAGAAGTTAATTCTTTTTTATTTGTTACTCATTTAAACTAACTTAGAGTTACAGTCACACATGAGTAAGCACACATGTTATTTACATTCCGTTGTCAAAACCGATTCTAAAATATTTTAAGTTCTGTCATTTTTTTTTCAAAATTGTCAAGAATTGGACAAATAGGCACATACTTAGCAATTTCTATCTTGATTTTGCTAGATATATATACTTTAAAGTTGATTTTAGAAAAATAGGATAATGAAATCAAATTACTTCAATATTTTGATGATAATATTGCTATAAAGTGTGTTTTATTTTTTGACTTGTGTGTTTTTTGTGAATATAAGTAGGTACTATAGATGTAAGTTCTAAACTGAAAGACGGGTGCTAAACAAAGAAAGTCTTGAATGGTCTTATGTACATTTAAGCAAGGTGGAGAAAGTTCTACATATACAGTTATTTACTAAACAGTTAATTATAAATGTAGCTTTAAAGACCCGGTAAACTTAAGTCTCAATGGATAAAAAGTACTTCATTATAAACCTCTTAGCCTAAAAAATATACCACATTAAACACATTTGTTGTAAGCCTAAGCTATACTTGCAAAGCATAATAGAGAATATCAAGTCAGAAAATGTATTACAGTGACTATTATAATATGACTTTTTTGGCATTAGAAGTTTCTTAGCCAGGTAAGAAATAAGTTTTCTATCAACACTCAAAATCTGCTTGCTTGAGTTATTGTGCTTTTCCAAAGCTAAAACAAAGCCACTTTCAAATTGATGTAAAATTTAAAAAATAAACCTTTACCAAAGGGATCATGCCTGTGTTCAACCTCCACTGTATGGTAGAAATAGAACATAATCAAGGGGGTACAATGTGTAGGTTAATTATCAACATATCATTAGTACTGTAACTACATGTATAATTCTACATATATGATGACCAGAAGACATGTGTGCTAATTACTGACAGATATTACTAGCCTATGACATGTGGTAACATTTGATATGTTTCAGATTCATGTGAAAAAGTTCTCATAATTGAAATCACTAGAATTCAGTTCAAAGACAACTAATTTATATTTAATCATGATAGAAAACTTTCCTCAATCAAAAAACCAGACAAGTACTTTAAATCCCTCTTTATTTTATGTATTTATAAGTACTTTAATCAAATAAAATGTAAAATGTACAATCAAAGTACTTTCTTCAAATATTTTTAAACATCTTGAGATTTCCCCCCCATTTATTTTCCAAACATATAATACCGGTATGTGGTTGTTCCTAACAATTTGATTTATGGCATAGTAGTAATGTAATTGCTCTAATATTTATTTCGCTATATGAGAGATAGAAGAAAATGGGGGGTTCAGAATGGGGGACACACAGACTCACCAGGGCTTTCTACCCCAAAGGGATGAACACAAGTGTGCACACAATCTACAGCAGAATGTTAAGCAGCATATCAAGCAATATACACATCGTGCAGGTGGCAATGAATACTCTACAGTACAATCAGTATTACACTGTCAAAATCTGGTTTACAAGGGATTTAGCATTAATTTACAATCAATATTACACAGACAAAATCTAAATTTTAAATTTAAAAGGTTTAAGAATTAATTTACAATCAATTTTACACTGTCAAAATCTATTTTTGAGAGTTTTACCATTAATTTTACATATTTTGCCTAATCTTAGTACAGCTGTGTGTTCTTAATCATACATGTATACTTGATAATACATGTGTACAGTTAGTACATGTAGTGATATAAAATTTGCAGAAACAGATATCAATTATGCTATAATAAAATAAACTGCCAAAATTATGTATATTTATGCACTTTTATTTCTGATTATTTAATTTACCCTTTGACTTCTTTTTTGGTGATCCTTAAAAATTGTAAAAATTAGTGTCTATGACTTAAAGAATAACAAGAGGCCCACGGGCCTTATAGGTCACCTGAGTATCATGTAACAACTTTCCAGCGATCGTATTTTGTTCGTGTTTTAATCCAAAAGCCATGAAAATCACAAATTTTGAAAGAGGCACCATTGCTTATCAAAGGGCAGATTTCAAAGCATTAATTTATTTTTAGTCAAAGTACCCCCATGGTACCCCTGACCCAGTGGCCCCTTAATTTATCTATTTTGAAAGAGGACCCTCTCTTCATTATAAGGCCAGCATTTTTTTTTATGTTTAGGTTTAGTTATAAACATGAGAATAAAAAAGTCCCGAAGGAAAAGGAAATAAAAAAAAAAATTTTTGATAAATCAATTGTACATTCTTTTTTTATGCTATCCTAATAGGCTCCTTACCACTGAACACATAATGCTTACAAATAGTAAAGTAGAACATTTTTAAAAATTGCTTATTTCATCATCTGCCAGTTTAGGCCAGTTATATATTGTGATGTTGGCCAAAATATATTTTAAAAAATCAATTCTTTAAAAGTCTTTCAATATATCTTCATTTTTTTAATATGTGTTAGGTGAAGGTGTAGACATTGTTCTAAAATTTACTTGATGCCTAAAATTATAATTCCTATCATAAAACAGACAGGGAGTATTGGGGAGTACGGTGAACATTTTTTCAATTAAGTGTAAAATAATTTCTCTGGCTGATACAAATGATACTACATGCCTGTATATATTTGTATATTCTTGCCTTTTAATAGTTGAATTTTTTTTTTATTTCTTCAGGTTATTGTTCATTTCTTCTGACCTAAAATGGACTTAACTTCTCCCATAGTTTTATTCATTACATCTGATGCATAAGCAACCCTTATCTGAAGAATGATGCTTAGACTGTAAGCTATAACAGAGACCTAAACAATGTCGCTGGCAATATGCAATAGCTACCACGGGCAGTTTAAAACCTGGGGGAGGAAAATAATTTACAGACAGAAACTTTTGAAACGAATACATAATTACCGTATAAGTAGAATTTTTAGCGAGGATTTAATTTTGGCATTATTAGCGAGGGTGCTGACATCACTAAAATTAAATATCGCTAAAAATAAATTGCATTGTATTTGTAATAGCTTCTTTAATGTGGCATTTTAAAATCGCTAAAATAACATCTCGCTAAAAATAAATTACCAGTTTTTAAGGTCAAATCGCTAAATTTGCATCTCGCTAAAATTTCCACTTATACGGTATCTCACCAGCATGTCATTGTGCAACAAAGTCGTCAGCATTTTATTTGTCCTTTGAACGGGTGAAACGTTTTGAATGGCACTCGTATCGATGAATTTTACACTAAACCAAGCTAGCTTTATTTACCCGCCGCTTCATCTTAAAACCGGAAGTGCGAGTTCGTAAATTTGAAATCTCGATCCCGACTCATATTTGACATCGGAAAGAAAAAAATTGTTTTATTTTTTTCTGAAAATTCAAAACCTTGAGCGGAGGCTTTGTACAACTGAAAATAAAATAAATCCTGGCCTTAAATATGTAATTAGATCATTAGCATATTAACCAGGAGCAAAGGATAAGATGTTCAAAGAATTCATGCAATTCACTATATAATCATTAGAGCCCCACCCTAAAACAAGAACCCCTGACCCTGGGGCCATAAAATTCACAATTTTGGTAGAGGCACTCTTGCTCATCATAACTATGTACTTAGATAGTTTATTTAATACCCAGGAGCAGAGAAGAAGATTTTCAAAGAAATAATGTATTTTCACTATATAATTAATAGAGCCCCGCCCTAACACCAGAACCCCTGACCCTGGGGCCATAAAATTCACAATTTAGGTAGAGGCACTCTTGCTCATCATAACTATGTACTTTGTTGGTTTATTTAATACCCAGGAGCAGAGAAGAAGATTTTCAAAGAAATAATGCATTTTCACTACCTACTTATTTAGCCCCGCCCTAGCACTAGAACCCCTGACCCCAGGGCCATGAATTTCACAATTTTGGTAGAGGACACATTGCTGATTACAATCATGCAAACAGTTTGATTGCTTGATGTCCAGGAGTAAAGAAGAAGATTTTTAAAGATTGCATTAATTTTAGTGGTTTTGGCCCCACCCCTCAGGCTCCAGGGGGGCAGGGATCATGAAATTCACAATTTTTGTTCCCCTTCACCCATAGATGCTTTGTGCCAAATTTGGTTGAAATTGGTTCAGTGGTTGCAGAGAAGAAGCTGAAAATGTTCAAATGTTAACGCACGACGCACGACGAACGACGACAGACGAAAACGGATAGCAATAGGTCACCTGAGTTTACTCAGGTGACCTAAAAAGGGTTTAACTTGTAGCAAGGTACATGACTATTTAATAAAAAATAATCCACCATGATGCAGAATTCAGATACAAATCAATTAAATGCCACTGCAAAAACATAAAATGAAAACTAAAATTGTATAAAATTTATAAACTGACTGTAAATAAAAAGGTCTGCATATATTTTAAAAACTACTAATGTTTACACTGGGTCTGAAATAATAACATGAAGTTACATACATGATCCTATTTAATATGCTCAAGATTTTCAGCCACAAAAACAACATTAAATATCAGTAAAAGTTTAACAAAAGCTAGATTACCAAGAATCAGTGAGAACTTTTGGACTGCAATATCATTAATAGAATAACATTAATTATATTTGACACTACATGTACATTGCATATAAAATTATATGGTCATATGTGAATTGATGCGACATACCTGTATTGATGACAAACTCTTTTCCACTCAGAATGTGATGAAGGAGCGTTTTCATTTCGTAAGGACTGAGATTCAATAAGTGTTCGGACGCTTCATCACCTGAAACAGAACACAGTCAGTATAATCAAACTGCCATAAATTATCAACTCACAGGAAAATATATCTGATTTTATAAAATGATTAAATGTTCACATTTTAAGAATATAACAACATAATCTATAATATACATTGTACCTATTTTATCTATATTTCGTTATAAAATATACATCATAAACTTTTATATACCACTTGGTATTTGCTTTAATATATAGTTGAACTTGGGTATCTACCTTAGGACTCAATATATCAAATCCTTGGCTTTCTCAAAGTTATTTCATGGTCCCATTGAGTTTGATATAATGAGATTTGACTGTATTTAAAATCTGATACTATTTATGATGTTTGGAAGTCTTCTTCTTCATCAGATTTTCCCCTTTATGCTAAAATGAACTTTTTTTATGTTTTTGTGTTTATCTAGTTCTAGGAAGCTCTGATGCCATAAACTTGAATGATATCTAAGTGTTTACCTGCATGCATGTGCCCTTGAAAGTTGTAGCAAGCTCTGATACAATAAGTTGAATTATATATGTGTTTACCTGTGCACTTGCTCTGATGCCATAACTTGAATTATACCTATGTGTTTATTTGTGCACTTGAGAGTTCTAGCAAGCTCTGATGCCATAACTTGAATTATACTTGTGTGTTTACCTGTACATTTGAGAGTTCTAGCAAGCTCTGATGCCATAACTTGAATGATGAGACCCACCCTTAGCCTCAACATTTCATTGAACAGTTTTGGTTCAGTACGGATAAACATGGCAAGATAAATTAACAGCTCCTGAAAATGCAAAGAATTTTAGATATAAGTGCAAAAAAATCCACTAAGAATTTCACAAATTTTAAAACATATCTGAGATACTGTATTTAACTTTGCAGAGACGAGAAGGATTCTCAAGTTAATATAGCCATAAAATATCAAATATATTTGAAAGATTCAATGTCCACTTTTTTCAAAATTGACAATATCAACTTTGTTTATCTTAAGGATATCAGCTTTGTTATTATACATGTACATATTTATTTAGGATACTGTATATTCTCTAATTTATGTGTAACAGATTCACATTATCCGCATTGTTGGAGATAATAGATCAGCTTTGTTAGACACATTATTTTGGAAATCATATAAGTTAGAGATTTACATTTAACATCAGTCTGAGAGTTGTTTTATAACTCATATATCACCTGTGTTAGGGATGCAGTACTGAGATCCTCCCCACAAGCATCAAAAATAATACTGGCCAGGTCATCTGGAGGCAGTGGTCTACAAAAACATTAAAATATAATACTGGCCAGGTCGTCTGGAGGCAGCGGTCTACAAAAACATTAAAATATAATACTGGCCAGGTCGTCTGGAGGCAGCGGTCTACAAAAACATTCAAATATAATACTGGCCAGGTCGTCTGGAGGCAGCGGTCTACAAAAACATTCAAATATAATACTGGCCAGGTCATCTGGAGGCAGTGGTCTACAAAAACATTCAAATATAATACTGGCCAGGTCGTCTGGAGGCAGCGGTCTACAAAAACATTCAAATATAATACTGGCCAGGTCGTCTGGAGGCAGCAGTCTACAAAAACATTAAAATATAATACAATGTACTGGCCATGTCATCTGGAGGCAGCGGTCTACAAAAACATTCAAATCCTACTTAAAGCTAATCCTGCTTCATTAACTTTCATCTGAACACTCATCCAGATGAAAATGTCAGATGCAGTATCAAAACAAGACTGGTAGAATGCATCTTTAATTAAATGCATTATTCAAATTAACAAGTTTGATATTGAATTTCTTAATAATATGTACACTGTACTTAAAATAGGCCTGCTCTTAAAAATATTAATCTCAAATGCTGAAAGGCTAATTAAATAGCATAATTCATTCCAAATTTTAGCTAAAAAGAATGATATGCTTTGAATGCATCTTTGTTTATTGCAATTTTTTCTATTACATATTTACGGAATGTTACGTTCTAATTTATTAATTACCGCATAATGACCCGTTCTCTGTCTGGAGGGAGACCCACTGATAACTGCTTCTGTCGAACTAAGAGATCTGTCGCTGCCTACAAGTAAATAAAGAAAATGGACTTCTTTTAAATTCTTAGTGGTTAATTTGAAATTTCTCTATTAATAATGACAACCATTTTTATGAATTACAAACGTACTAGGCAAAAGAGATATGAACAAAATCTACAAAAGCATTATTCTCCAAAATACAAAAGTATCTGATGTAATATTAATCAATATGATGGAATTTTACAAATATTAAATAACCACTGCAAGAAACATTGAGTTTTTAAACACCTATATTCTTATTATGCATTTACCCAAGTAGTTCTATTAAAAAACAAAATAACAGATTCTGCCTAATCAGGTTTGAGTTATGAACATACCAGAGCTAGTTCCTCTACTGACCATTAGGTCTGAAGTTATAAACATACCAGAGCTAGTTCCTCTATTGAGTATTAGGTCTTAAGTTAAGAACATACCAGAGCTAATTCCTCTATTGAGTATTAGCTCTTAAGTTAAGAACATACCAGAGCTAGCTCCTCCACCCTCTTCCTAAGCATACCAGCTGTATGTCTGACCAGACCCCAGTGTTTCCAATGACCAGCCTGAAATTTATATCATACAAATCTTCTGAATTCAGATAAACATAAATATAGAGATTGCTGTAAATCAACTTTTATTCACAACGACTTTATTTCGTGATTTACCTTGGTAAACTAGTTCACGACGATTATTTTTCATGAACAAGCCTGTTATTTATAACCATGTAGACTTCAAGGACTGGTTCGTGGCGAGAATTATTTGCAATGACAAGGCTCTCGCGAATCTCATGAAAATTTCTCACACGTGAATAAAAGTTGGTTTACAGTACATAATGTCAATGGTACAAGTTCACCAGACCCAAGATCATGGAACATTTTAGCTCAGTTCAAAATGTTGAAGGCATAGATAATTGGATATCCAATACTAGAATTTATGCTTGCTATAACATACTAAGTCTTGTAAACTTGTGAAAAAATATTTGTTCATTACTAGAATAAATTGGTGATATCTTTGTTCTCCACAAATTTGAATGATCTGCCCGACTTCTGTCTTAATGAATGACATCAAAATTTCAGTGGCACACTGAAATTCAAATTTGCAGATAACATTTCAGACTTGCCTTTTCATAAAGTTCCACCAATAATTCCTTGATACAACATGGCTTTTCATCAATTTTGATCTCAAAATTAGGACCCCTGAAAATTTAAATCTGTAATTACCTAAAGAATATGGTGCAATAATTATTGGAACACACAATTTAATGACACATGTACTGATGTTAAATTAGTATTATTGTACTGGTCATTACTTAAGTGTTCATATATACATGTTTTGACTTTTGAAGTATCAGTTAATTCCAAAATAAAGGTCTTAAATGGTCTGGAATACATCTGAATAATATTTCAATCAAGCTGCCATTTTAAAGAAGAAATGTTAACAGAAACTTAAATTCAGCGAGCTGAGTAATGATTACCAAGGGTAGGCATACCTGTGAAGATACAGATAATGGATGATATCTGCCTGTTCATGTAATACTTCAGTGTTATTAAGCTGATCCACTAGGTCGTCAATGTTGATCCTCTCCTGCTTCCCTGGGGGGTAGCTCCCCGGGCCGTGGAAGAAGTGGGAGAGTTGTGGGGATGAAGAGGGGGCGTGGTGACTGTAATGTAGGGGGTGTAGACTCCCCTTAAGGTGGAGACTGGGAGACATGGGTCTCGCCGGAAAATCATCTAAAAAGGAAACCATTCTCATATCAGGAACATTCAATCAATTTTAAATTATAACAAAGTGAAATTTTTATTGTTCTTCAATGCTCACACATTATTTGTTATTGCGTTTTGAATAACTTGAACAATATATACATGAATGCATATATACAAAGATTCTTATTCTTCTATGAATTGCTATTTTGGTAGTAATTTTTAAATATACAAGTATATATTTGTAGGACTCCAAAGTGTGATGGGACTCCAAAGTCTGATGGTCACGCCAAAGCCCGATGGTCTGCGTCAAACCCTGATGGTTTGACATGCCAAGTCCGATGGTGCGGAAAACAAATAATGTTGATGACATCATAGTACTACTGCAACTAACCTTAATGTTGCGCCATGCCAAGGTCTTAAAAATAAGTATAAATAAATGCGAAAACTAACCCTTATCTCTCAGATAGGTGCGAGACTAACCCTAAACGCTCGAAAAGTGTGTATCAACTATAACCTAGATATCTTTGGTGGGTGCGAGACTAACCCTAATCACTCGACTAGTGTGCGAGGACTAACCCTAAATCTCTCGGGTTGTGCAATGCAAGGACTAACCCTAATCAATCAAGTGATGTGCGAGGACTAATCCTAATGTCTCTGGAAGGTGCAAGCAATAAGCAAAATCAATAAGATTGTATTCCAGGCCAAATTCAGAAGTGATGGCTTTTGGCATCAAGGATTGACGTCAGATTATTGTGAAGTCATAAACGTTGATTGTTTCTCTGCACCATTGGACTTTGGCGTGACCATTGGACTTTGGCGTCCGTAACGACAGCATACCATCAGGGTTTGGCAAGACCATCGGATTGTGGCGTCACCATCGGACTTTGGAGTCTTACATATAATATATTGTTTTCTTAAAGCTTACAAAGCTCACCTCAACATGTATATGTTGGCTAAAACCTCATACCAAACAAATGATCAATTATCCGTATTCCAATAACAGAGTTTCTAAAGTACCAGCTAAATTGATATGCAATCACATTATAGATATTTACCACTAAACTGGATCCAAATATTGTACATTTACCTTTTTCTCTTTTCATCTGTTAACACTCTTTTCATGTAACATGAGACTAATTTGTCACAACATTTAACATTGTTTATTTTGGATAGACTCAATTACAATCTTTACTTTGATTGTCTTTGGGCTTAAAATTAGACCCCTTTCAATTCTTTCCTAAGCAAACTAGGAAAACTAGAAAACCAACTACAACTGAGAAATTGAAAGGTGTAATGTTATCTGTTAATATTGTCATTTACAACATTGTCTTTGATCTTTTGACCCTTGAACTTTTTGTCTTTTCTCTCCTCTAGCTTTTTCTACCATCTCATTAGCAATAATGAAACAAAAAGGTGACATGGAACTACACTGTATTTCTACTGTATCCACAACATTGAATGGATGCATGCACTATAGGTTATAATTATTGGACTGGAACAAAGAAAAAGAATATAAATCAGTCAAAAATACATCCGTTAAAGCAAAGCTGAAAACCTAATTTATTCCTGGCAACTTTAATTCATAATTAATCAGTTTAAAGTGTTATGTTCTAAGTAGCTGCAGAACTGTAGCTCAGATCTCTGCTTGAGAAAATTCGGACAGATAAAGCAGAGAGTTACAGATCCAAGCGTTGTAAAAACCTTCGATTTACGCCGACAATTTTTTGTCGCTAACTTTGGGTATTTTTTCTGGTATTTAATACTTTAACCTGCTCTAAAAAATGGTATTTAATAATTAATCATAACTTATGACTTCAATTCCTGATAATTTACTTACCTTTCAACGCTAACAAATGGCTGTTTGTGGTTATGGAGGTCGAAATTGAACTCTGTTAAGCCGATGTTACAATATATATACAGGACTGTTTCAGACCGTTAAAATGTAAATAAACTTTAATAAAGTATCACAAATAAGAGTTAAATATATGATTAACTATAGGATGCAATTCTAAAAGCAAGAGAAAGTTTCAACTACAAGAAATAAATACCTAGAGTAGCGACAAAAAATCGTCGGCGTAAATCGAAGGTTTTTACAACGCTTGGATCTGTAGCTCTCTGCCGTATCTGTCCAAATTTTCTCAAGCAGAGATCGAGCTACAGTTCTGTAGCTATGTTCTAAGCTCATGTTTCTGGTATATCACTTTCATTGCACAATCCTTTTATCAACTATCAAGTGTGTGATATCAAATTTTTTTCTGTTTCAGAGTTATGATTCAGAAATGACTTGCCACGCATATTCATTTTTTGTTACTTGAGAACATGGTAACTTGTTAAACTTTTCTAAGCTCACATACAACAGAAGGAACAAGTAAAGAAGTATTTTTCTCTGAGGCCAGGGGACAATTAAATTATTTCTTTTTCATAAAGAAAATAGATTTTATAGGTTCTAAAACCTGTAATTTTCTGAAACCAAATACCTGCAAATTATTGAACAAAGTTTACTGTCAGGCAAAAATTCTATTTTTGTCAATTTCCCCATTTGCGTAGCACGGTGTTTGCTTTAAATTTCAAACCTTTAAAAATAAAGACCCAAATTGAAGCAGTCTTTCATGAATCATACTAAATAGACTATATTTTTAATATGCAATTTTCCTCACTAAAGTATAAACATAAATCAGGGTTACAAGTGGCAGAGATAATTCCGGACTTAACATACCCAGAATTCCTGGCGTACTTCCACTTTTAGACATACCAGTATGTGATTGGTCGGCTCCTCTTCTATCTATCAAAGCATGCAAGAGGAAATAAAAATAAATCAGACTGACTAGTATGTATGACTGCAAGATTACAACTGAAAGAACATAATTCTATTTTTAAACAATTCTTTGTAAATACTAAAATGGCTAAAGAATCTTGAAACAAAGAAATCATCATGCTTAACTCCTCTAAAAAGTAATGGGAGATTACTAAAGCATAATCAATAGTCATGAATTGATTAGGGAATGAAATGGAAAATATAAATGAGATATAATAAATTTATCTATTTCTAGAGTTCTGGTAAATTAATACACAAATATGATGTTACATATATGTTTCAACATGCTTTTGCGACAATATGACTGAAAAAAGATTACTATTTATTTATTATTAACTAAAACTGTCCAAACGGGACAAAATACCCCAGCTGGGTTTTTTCAGAAGTAAGTTTTTCCATAATAAAGATATGTATCACACATGAATTATGAAATTTTTCTTCCAGTGACCTTGAAATTCCCCAAATGACCTTGGGTCAAGGTCATGACATACCCTTGGGTCATGGGCAATCTTTGTGTGAAATGAGAACCTACCAAGTTTATCAATAAGAAAGATATGGACCGGACATGAATTATGAACTTTTTCTTCCAGTGACCTTGAACTTCCCCAAATGACCTTGGGTCAAGGTCAAGACACACCCTTGGGTCATGGGCAATCTTTGTGTGAAATGAGAACCTACCAAGTTTATCCATAAGAAAGATATGGACCGGACACGAATTATGAACTTTTTCTTCCAGTGACCTTGAACTTCCCCAAATGAACTTGGGTCAAGGTCACGACATACCCTTGGGTCATGGGCAATCTTTGTGTGAATTGAGAACCTACCAAATTTATCCATAAGAAAGATATGGACAGGACACAAATTATGAAAATTTTCTTCCAGTGACCTTGAACTTCCCCAAATGACCTTGGGTCATGGTCACGACACACCCTTAGGTCATGGACAATCTTTGTGTGAAATGAGAACCTACCAAGTTTATCCATAAGAAAGATATGGACCGGACACGAATTATGAACTTTTTCTTCCAGTGACCTTGAACTTCCTCAAGTGACCTTGGGTCAAGGTCATGACACACCCTTGGGTCATGGGCAATCTTTGCATGAAATGAGAACCTATCAAGTTTATCCATAAGAAAGATATGGACCGGACACGAATTATGAACTTTTTCTTTCAGTGACCTTGAACTTCCCAAAATGACCTTGGGTCAAGGTCATGACACACCCTTAGGTCATGGGCAATCTTTGTATGGAGTAGTAGATTCTAATGTCCCTCTGTAAGAAAGATATGGACCGGACACGTTTGCACAGACAGACGGACAGCTAGACAGACAGACAGACAGACGGACAAGGTGATTCCTATATACCCCCCCAAACTTCGTTTGCGGGGGGTATAAAAATAATTATATATATCATAAATAAACACCTATTAAAAATTATATATAGTTTATATGGAATTATAGCAATGATCATGCCATTAATTATAACATGAAAAGTATATTTTATATACACACCACATCAATGATTATTGTCAGTAAATATTGACAAGAATTCAAGTCACTCTTCTGCAGTAACAAATGAACAAAATGAGTTTTCTGTTCTGTTTTTAAAACTATGAAAAATGCTTGACTACAATCATATTACTAGTTAAGGAAAATAAAGGAAAAGCTGTCAATGTAAAAGCAAATTGTGTTTTCTTTTGTGTGTATAGAATTGGTAATTCTCAAATTATAAACCCCTTACTCTGACAACTGTAGTGATGGAGATGCATTTCACAATATTTATTATAACGTATCCTAAGAACAAATTTTGCATAACAATGCCCTTAACAACTGGTACATGTCATTTTCTAAAAAATTAATCAGATGTCAAAATCCAATAACAATCTCTGATATATGTACTTGTTTGCAACTATAATGAAAAATTAAAATTTCCAATCTTAAAAATCATAGGTGGAGTTATCCTGACAAATAATGTACCTATTAATAAAACAATATTTTGCAACCAAAAAAAAATTACTGGTAATTTCTTACAAATTTTTGCAAATAAAAATCCAAGCGGATTCACATTTCTTAAATATGTACAATTGATCTGCAAAATCAAAACTTCTTCATATCTTTAGCATATGTATATACATAAATATAAAAGCAGGACTTCATGCAGCAGGCTATCATTTCCGAGTAACATAATTATTCAACTACTAAAACACACAAAGTTTATAGGT